GCGGTACCCGAGCGCAGCGGCCGCGGCTGCGGCGGCGGCCGGCCAGATGCCCGTCGGAGCACAGCAACTACCGCCTACGGCGAATCCTTACGCCACCGCCTCCTACGCACAACACGCGTCGGTAAGTCCTCTTCGCCATCCTCTTCATTTTCCGATCGACGATTCACTCCGCTTCGACCGGCTCGCCTCCTCGTGCACGCGTCCACCGGCTGCGTCCGTCAGGGGCAACGTGTCGTGGGTGACGCCGGGACGTTTCGTGTCGGTTACTTAATTGGGACGGTTCGACGGTGGCCTGGTTGAGGTTAACACGTTCGCGGACGTGGTATTCCATTGTGATGCAGAATATGACTAACTTTAGGGTTCATAAGGTTGTCATGAATTATAGCCTTTTTTGAAATTGTGCACTTTACCTTTGGATTTGGGTTTCCTAGTTTTGCTTAGTGAAATTTGTGGACGTGTTCAGTGACAGGATTGTGAATTGTCTTGGGATTGTGTAGAAGTCTGAAGAGTTATTGAGACTTTGGGTTGACGGTGGCCTGGTTGAGGTTAACACGTTCGTGGACCTGGATGTGGCATTCCATTGTGATGCAGAATATGACTAACATTAGGGTTCATAAGGTTGTCATGAATTATAGACTTTTTGGAATTGTGCACTTTACCTTTGGATTTGGGTTTCCTATTTTTGCTTAGTGAAATTTGTGGACGTGTTCACAGTGACAGGATTGAATTGTCTTGGGATTGTGTAGAGCCTTAAGAATTATTGAGACTTTGGTTGACATCGGTTTGGGGTAAACCAGTTTCCTGGTGCTTTTTGAGGAGTTTATTTGTCGAGTAACTGGAATGAGATCAGGAGTTTAGTTCTAGTGTTAAATAGTACTGGTTGTGGTTTTTTGGAGGTCTGATGAAGGTTGGGTGTACTTGTAGACTTGCGTCGTGATGTCGAGCTGTGGAGTGGAAGGAATCGGTCGGTTTAGTCGAGATTTGAGGTATTACGTTTGAGTTACCTTGTATGCATTTCTGTGCGCTGTACGGGATGTACGTGGAGGAATGGTTGAGAGGAAGATGACAGGCAACAATGTGGTTAGTAACAGACAGCCGGCACGGGACTTGGTTGACTTTGCGCAGTGAAAAGGTTAACCCCCTTTTTCGCGAACCGGGTGGGGCCATGACAACGCGGCACACTGTCCTTGCACGATGCGCGATCTTTTATGGAGGATTTTACCTCCCCCAAATTTGGCATGGAACTTCTTCATTGATCCGTCGATATACGTATCTACATTGGACGAAACATGACAACATAGTTGTCGGTTTAGTTATGTGTACCGTTCGAATTCGCCGGCTTGCGATTGTGGAATAGATTAGCAGAGACAGAGCTGTGAGAGTGATGTTTCCGCGGTACACCGGTTTAGAATAGTTAGGAACAAGCAGAGACAATCGTCGCACGTTGGCACCGTTGATTTTGAACCCTTTCGCCGGGTGGGGCAACAACGGTTTTCACGACTTGCTTGTTACATGGCAGTGGTGCAGCTTTTTGCCTATAAAGTTGGCAACTGTTTCAAAACTGTGATTCACCACGTGATTTATTCTGTATCTCTTTGTACCTTTTTAATGTTGGATTAGTTAGACAGAAGTTTAAGAACATGCTGTGAAATTATCTTGAGAATGTAGCATAACAGAAATATTATAGTTATTGAAATTATTGTAAAGTGTCTTTTTGTTTATCCTAGTATTTATACATTGTTTGTTACATTTTACAGTATGGTGGACAACGGGTGCCAACAGCCTCCTCCCCAGCTAATACCAATAGTAGTTGTAGCAGCGCTACTGGCAGTCAAAGTGGGACAATGAGCACAAGTCTTAGCAATAATGCTATACAAGGACAACAAGCAGAACAGTTGTCAAAAACAAATTTGTATATTCGTGGCCTCAACCAAAATACAACTGACAAGGACCTCGTTAACATGTGTTCTCAGTAAGTCACTCGTGTAATATTAAATACATGAAAGATGTTACGTGCTCTTCCATCTAGACGGAGTGTATTGTTTCTAATACATTGTGTTTTTGCAGATATGGAACTATCACCTCTACAAAGGCAATTTTGGATAAAAACACGAATAAATGTAAAGGTACTTTTTCAAACGCTTGTACTATGTTTTGGTTTTGTAACTTAGTTTACATAGGAATGTGTTTACGTTACATAAGCTGTAAGTAGGAATCGCATGTAATAATTTATATTGCAATTGTGTGTTGCAGGTTATGGATTTGTAGACTTTGAGTCACCAGTGGCGGCAGAGGGTGCTGTGAAAGCACTGGTCGCCAAGGGCATCCAAGCGCAGATGGCGAAAGTGGGTATCTGGTTGCTCCGTAGACTGCCCAGTGTACGTTGGTTGTGCATGCAAGTACAGTAATACCAGAGTAACAGTAAACCTTTCTTCTCTTTCATTTTCTGTTTTCCTTTTCTTTCTGTCTCTCCTCTTTCT